AAAACACTGGATGCTGTGTATGAATACAATGGTTCAAGTCCCACTATGGCCACCCGAGTACGAGAAAGTAGCATGAACAAGATTCTATGGACACATAGTAGGTCCACAGAATTTCACTGTGCCTTTCCTGTAACTGTTTTTTCAGCCTCACCTATTCCGAGGCGACTTTGTCAATTATGTTATAAAATATGTACCCAACATCAAAATCAGACGTTGACTGAGCTGTAAAATCAAATGATGTACTGACTACATCAGGGCCATTTGGGGATATGTAGATGGCCTCCAGTTTTATTTAGTTAATCATTATTTATTTACTAAGTTCACCTGCTGTATTTCAGGCATTGACAATACAAATACAAAGATGAAGACAGACCAAACCCTGCCCTTTAGGGTGCAGAAAGTCCTAACTAAAATCAGAGTCCAAAATATAGGCAACTCATAATTAAGGAAGAAGCAAATTTTTCCATCCCACTGCTGCAGTGATAATGGTGATCACTAATAATAATAAGCACTAATATTTATTAAACTCTTGCTATATGCCAGCCATTGTTCTAAGAGCCCTTTGAAGATGCTCTCACTGAATCCTCATAATTGATCTATGCCAGACCCTATTATCATGCCCACTTTACACATGATAGGCTATGTGAACTGCCTGCCTCTAACCAAGTTGAGATTCAAACTCAGGAAGTTGAGTCTAGAGCCCATGTTCTCAATGATAAGTTAATGATGCATAAGGCCCAAAGTCACACCATCTAGATTTTGTTTTCTCTGTGTATATCCTGCCTTTGTCCACATTAGTAATGAACCTAATGTCGGCATGGCTAGTCCGCAAGATCCACCCAGGTTCATACTCTCTATCTTTGATTTTAGTAAGCCCCAAATTAAACCTAAGTTACATGTTGGTACCAACAAGGCACTGAAACCTGTACCCAGGAAGCATCAGCATATATCTTTCAAAAGTTTTCATGAAACAAACATAAACCAGCAGGTGACTAACAGAGAGACCACACACAGTCTGACCAACCTACACTTATCTGAGTCACCGTGCTTACCTGGGGCCACGGAGGGAACCGTATTTCTGGCAAAATGCTAACAGATCACAAGTTCTCACCTTCAAATACCAAAATGGGATGCAACCCTTTCTTTTGGAATCAGGGTCAAGGCATTTCTTTGAACTTTGATAAACTCCTATGAAACTCAGTGATTTCACAGGTGCTTTTCTTTTTCCTAATCAGCTCTTGTTTTCTCTGAGGACAGACTACACAGGAGGAAAAAGAGGAGCAACATATTGTATACATTGATTGATCGTGCAAAAAAAAAGTTACCAAAATGCTGGAGGGGGCAATTCAGAAAGAAAGAGAAAGAGAAAGAAGTCAATCTGGGTTAGGCAGTGCATTTTATTTTATAAATAGCAGTCTAACTTGGAAAGGATGCCCCAAAGGTAGAAATGAGTCTGTTCTATTTTTCTCGGCTCCCCAAAGCACCGTCTGCAATCCAAAGATAACTGTGTCATGATTTAGTCATAAAACACACACCACTGTGATGGGTATTTACTTAACACACAGCAGATAAGCAAATATATACACTCGGCAATACAGACTAGTATGCATATACCATGTGTAATGGCGATGCATACCAGCATCTTACAAAAATTTGCTCTTATTTCTTCTTTTCTTTCAACAGCATTTGTGTTTATTATATACATAAACATGTATATACTATATGAAATGTATAATAAACACTGCTTTTACCATTGTAAGTGAAACATACAATGTTTCATTTAAACTGCTCATGATCATTGTAAACACTAATGGTATGTTTCAATGGACAGACAGAAACCAAAAGAAATACAAATGCTGAAAATTCGATGATTTTATTTTACTCACTAATTCATGTGGTGGTCACTACCTGAAACTCGGAAGTGTGATCCTGAAGTAAAGAGGTTTCATTCCAGTAGGAGTTCACAACTGGCTATGAGGAAATTCCAAAAGAATTTCCCAAAACTATTGATATTAATATTTTGAGACCTTGCAGCATGCTGAAATAAGTACAGAGATCCCAAAGTGACCATACGTTGAACAACAGCACAGGTCTGGGGGCGCCTGGATGGCTCAGTCGGTTAAGTGGCCGACTCTTGATTTCAGCTCAGGTCACGGTCTTGGGGTCATGGGATTGAGCCCCGTGTCAGGCTCTGTGCTCGGTGGGGAGTCTGCTTGGGATTCTGTCTCTCCCTCTTCCTCTCCCCTTCACCCTTGTGCTTTCTCTCTCTCTCTCTGAAATAAATCTTGTGGCTCAGATGGTTAAGTGTCTGCCTTCGACTCAGGTCATGATCCCAGAGTCCTGGGATCGAGTCCCGCATCAGGCTCCCTGCTCAGCGGGGAGCCTGCTTCTCCCTCTGCTTCTCTTTCTCTCTCTCTCTCTCTCTCTGTCTCTCATGAATAAATAAATAAAATCTTAAAAAAAAATAGTACAGATTTGGTTCTTAAGCATGTTTTTAAAAAACTCAATCTCGCTGCTTTAGAGTCACAGCTAACACACTCTTTTGAGCATATTTGACTCGAAATGTCTATCCTTAGCCACCCATTAAGGGACATCACCATATTGTCAATCTTCCTTTAAAAAGTGAAGGTCTTCAAAACTGGCTTTAAGAGAGGAGAATGAACGTATCCTCTCTCCTTGTGTCAAGAAAGCTCTAACTCAGTTCACATCATGTGCCAAGCACCAGAGAAACACAACAGAAAGTGATGCCAGGACACTGAGCGAAGGAGGAGTGAGCAGAGGGGAGGCCAGGAAGGTGTCCCGGAGAGAGTCAGAGCGAGCAGAGTACATGTGTTCAGACTGCATTCCGAGCTCCCCACAGGCCCTTACTGACACCCACACTCAAAGGGGAAGGGGCTGTGGACAGAAATGATACAAACACTTAGCAGTGAGGGAATCATTAAACAAACCATGGAGCTTGAATATTTTGAGAACTTGCAGCAGGCTGAATTAAGTACAGAGGGTGGAAAAGCATGCCTGATACTTAAAAAACCTGAGGTAGAAAAACAGTGCATCCTCATACGCGCTGCTCTACAAAATATATACGTAAGAGGAAAAAGCAAACCATTCGTAAAACTATCTCATGTAATTTTTTTCTTGTTTTACCTTTTTATTGTGGAGAATATTAAAGATACAAAATTAGAGAGAACAGAATAATAAATCCTTATGTACCCATCTTTAACAATTATCAGCTTAGGGGCAGTTTTTTTGTTTTTGTTTTAATCTCCACCTCAATTATTTTGGAGAAAATACCATACACAATATTATTTATATTAGTATACATTTTATTACATTATATCTATTATACTATTGTATATTAGTATATATCTCTAAAAGATAAGGATTCTTTAAAAATTTCATTATCATAAAATTTGGGTAACATGCCTAAAACGTTTTCTGAAAGGAAATATTTAAAAAAAAAAAAAAGAAGAAGAAAAAGAAGAAGAAGACAACAGTGGCCATCACTGGGGAAAGGGGCTAGAGTGAGGAACAGGGGAGACTTTACTGTTCATTTAATACCATGCAGTAAAATTTAAAATTTGCCTCCAACAGAAAGCACCGTGCCTGGGAGAGCAGTGGGAAGACTGTCAGGACCGGAGGAAGACAATGAGGTCTTGGTGGCTCTGCTGAAAACAGCAAGTGGAGTTTGGCTGGGAGAGGCTCAAGGAGTCCTTGATGCAGATTCCAATACTAGCAGGTGACAGCGTCCATCAGCTATAAGATATGAATCCTCTCAATGGGTAAAAGGTAATAGCTGTGAACTCAGTAACATTATTAAACATAATTATGCTTCCAGTAATGTGCAGGTCTAGACATTTATGAGATGAAATGGACTCATCTCAACCTCCCTACTGCCATCTCCAGCTACAGCGGGCTGATGAAATCCATCAGCTAAAGTACCGCGATTTTAAAGGGCACTTCAAAAACAGTTTGTTTTTTTTTTAAGCAAGTCAATGTCTTCACTTTCTCCTTCTCTTTTCCTTATCTAGAGTCCTTGTAATTTCTCTGCCTTCTAGGTTGCAGAAATGTTATTTCCTTCCATGGTGGTGCTGTTATATTTACAGCACATTAACAGGGTCTTGGAACCCACTATGGTAGTAGCTGGGTTACTGGGTTACGTTAGAGAAATAAGCCTTTGTGAGTGCTTGTTTACACTGAATTTAGATACAACCAAGTGCTCCGCGTGTTTTAATCTTATCATCAGTATACTGGGGGAGCTATGAGAAGATGCAGTCGAAAGTAGCTGGCTTTTAGAGCCCTGTTCATTTTTGTCCAAACTGTGATTCCTCTGACAAATCCGAAGATGATACAGATATAAACAAAGTCAAGAAAGACTGGTCTCAATTAGACTACTTAAAATCCTGAACTTCTGAATATATTAAAAGAAAAAAAAAAAACCCCACCATTTTCTTACTTTCAAGTATCACATGAACAAGGCTAATAAAATGTTCCCCAGTAAAGGTCAAAGGGAAATGTCTATAATAAGTAGACTTTTAAACTTTGTAAACTTCTAACTTTTCATTAGTTTGAGCATAAATCCGTTCCGAGAAATTTAAAATAGTTGGTTCTTTTAATCAAGCTATATGCTGACCCCTGCAACTGCATTTCTTTTCTTATTTTGCTTAACAAAACCCAGTATTTCTAGATAGTATATTGAAACAATTCACCTAAGCACTGGCACTGTAATTTCTACACAGATGATGTTTTACTGTACTTAACACCAAGGACCCATTTGTTTGACAAAAATGCTCACCAGGACAAGCAACTGATATAAGAACCAAAATGAAACCACTGAGAAATCTATTTTCCACACAAGCTGCCTAATTTTACCCCAAGAGGCTTAACGTTCATCTCTGCCCGCAAATGGACTTTTTTTGGTCGGGCTAGAGATTAATTCTGTCAATAACTGAACACACCCAGAGGAAGTGCCGCTTGAGTCTACACCCTTTCCCGGGGGGTACCTGTTTCATCCGGGGAACTGGGTGAGGCGCTGTCTTGGGACAGTGTTGTCCAGCTGGACTCCTCATCGCTCGGTGCCAGGTTCTGGATCCGGTGTAGCGCGCAATCGGTTTTGGCCCCTGTTTTAGGATGATCCTTCTTGGTCTCTGGGCTGGATGACACTGTGGCCACTTGACCATCTTCAGGGCTGAACTGGGCTTTGCTTGGTTTCTGCAGCAGCACCTCACCATTCCCAATGATGGTGGAGGCCGGGCCCTGGCCCGGCTGGGACTTCTCTTCCACAGCCCCGTGCTGGTTGCCCGAGTTCTGCTCTAGGTCTCTGGCTGAGGTTTCCAGGTCTGCATAGTAATTTAGGAAGCTCTTGGTTCTCCGGGGTTGGGAGGGTAAAATTTCACAGCCTGAGGAATCACGCGGGTGGGGTTCTTTGCCCTCTAACTTCTCAGAAGTTATGTTGATGACCGCCGTGGGGCTGACGTTTTTGTTGGGGTCCTGCTGTCCTTGTTCTGCAGCTTTCCGGAGCTGGTTCTCCCCATTTTTCACCAGCTTGATGTTGGCAGAGCCGTTTCCCAGCAGGGGCTGTGCAGCTGGATCGGAGAGGCCCATCGCCACCTGGATGTTAGTTAGTGCATATTTTTTCCTGCATTTGGGGGGCGTGCTGTTCTTGGTTTCGGTGTGTTTTATCTCTGCATTCAACAGTTCATTGTGGGAGGAACGGAGATGAAGGGTATTTGGTGGTGTGGCCGGGCTGTTTCGATTTGTGATGTCTGTGGCTCCGCTGCTGGCCATAAACCCTGCCACAGTGTCTACACCCGAGTCAGCTGGAAACAAAGAAACTCGTCGTTAGCTGCCTGACATGATTAAACTGCTTGGCATACAGTGAGCCAACATTTTTATACAAAAAAATTGAAAGGGTTAATGCTTCCATTGCATACATTCTTTTTTTTTTTTTTAAGATTTTATTTATTTGACAGAGAGAGACAGAGCGAGAGAAGGAACACAAGCAGGGGGAGTGGGAGAGGGAGAAGCAGGCTTCCCGCCGAGCAGGGAGCCCAAGTGAGGCTCGATCCCAGGACCCTGGGACCATGACCTGAGCCGAAGGAAGACGCTTAATGACTGAGCCACCCAGGCACCCCTCCATTGCATGCATTCTTATAGAACTGACCCATTTTCCTCTTTATTTTCACTGCTCACTCATAAATTAAATAGGAACAAATAAAAGGCTTAATGTGGATACACAAAAGCCAATTTATAGAAAAGCTAAGAGGTCTAAGGGTCCAAAGTTTATTTAGCATCTCCCTTTTGCATTCATATAAAAGCATTTTCTTCTGGTCATTATTCACAACCTTGAAAATCACCCCCTTTCTACACATTCACACCACAATTCTGTTCTGCAGTTCCTTTGGGCAACAAAAAAAGTTGCTCAAAAATCCTCTGGGGCTCCAGCCTTCTTAATTAACCTAAAAAGGTCACTGTTCATTGATGCACCATACATCCAAGGTCATTTTTCTCAACCGTGTTTAGAAATTGTGTTCCAAATGCCTGGAAAAGCCAAATCTCCATTAGAGTTTGCTAATAATTTTGTGACCATTTTTGACTTGGGCTTAGTATTTGTACGAAACAGACATTTTGGAGAAATGGCTCAGTTACTCAAGAATGTACACACACACACACACACACACACACACACACACATAAAACTATTACTAATAATGCAGCCTTGAGCCCTTGGCTACTGCCATGTTACAGCCCCCATAGGAGTCTGAATACATTCCACTGAATTAAAATACAGACTCTGCTGTTCGCAGTCCTCATGTGCCCTTACAGGACTCCTAGGAAACCACCTGACAGTTGCATTTATCTCAAATATTGTTCATACCATCAATGATTCATTCCATGTGTCTCTTGCTAGGAAGAAAGAAAGGTTACTCAGACTAGAAGGGAATAAAATTCATCAACAAGAATTCCTAAGGTTTCACATTTCTCAGTCTATGAAGAATGACCCCTTTCTTATCTGATCCTTTGCCCTCCACAGAGACTTCAGTGAGTTTACACCAGCAAAAGAACCAAAGCACAGCTCCTAACATTCCTAGAATTGTATTGTGACAACTCCCTCTTCCACCCCCAGGCAAAACAGGGACCTTCCCCAGGAGAGGAAGGTAAGTAAGTAAGAATGATCTTCCTTTTGGGAACTTAGAGGTACTCCTTTCTATCATCAAATACTCAGAATCACCTACTTTAGGAAAGAGTCACCCACTCATCCTGGAGTCTGTGTGCTTCTAGAAAGGTAGGCAACATATGCTGTAAGCAGTGCCCATATTTATAACGCAATGACCGTGTGGCCTACAGAGACAGTTAAGGGCTGTAACCTGAAGTGGTTAAACCTCGGACCCCATTCTTTTTTTTTTAAGATTTTATTTATCCATTCATGAGAGACAGAGGGGGAGAGAGAGAGAGAGAGAGAAGCAGAGGGAGAAGCAGACTCGGCACTGAGCAGGGAGCCCAATGCGGGACTCGATCCCAGGACCCTGGGATCATGACCTGAGTCGAAGGCAGCCGCTTAACCATCTGAGCCACCCAGGCGCCCTCGGACCCCATTCTTATAGAAGTGTTATTTATCAGGACTCCTGCTTACCCAGCAACAGAGCTAAGCACGTGGGCTTCATTTTACAGGAAGAGAGAATCTAGTTTGTTTCTCCCTTTTAAACAATACTCTGATGATTAAATTATTTATTTATTTATTTTTTAAAGATTTTATTTATTTATTTGACACAGAGAGAGAGAGAGATAGTGAGAGAGGGAACACAAGCAGGGGGAGTGGGAGAGGGAGAAGCAGGCTTCCCAAGGAGCAGGGAGCCCGATGCGGGGCTCGATCCCAGGACCCTGGGATCATGACCTGAGCCGAAGGCAGACGATTAACGACTGAGCCACCCAGGCGCCCCGTGATGACTAAATTTTTAAAAATTATACCGTTCTAACTTTACTACCATTTTCATGTATTCCAATTTAGAATTCACCCTCACTCAAGAGTAGCACTTGATATGAAAGGGCTCAACTTGAACCCATATGAAGTTTTCCCTGAGACACTTATCTATAACATGGGCACACAAGAGAAAACTCTTGGTTATTCAGAATGACATTACTATGAGAAAGTAGGAAATCTTTGACTTTTTTAAAGACATCACAGAAAAATTTCTATGAGGCTATTTTATGATGTTAGGTACTATATTCTAGCAATGTTATTAGGGAGAAAGTTTTATTTACTTTGTTCATAACCATAAACATTTTCAGAAAGAATACTATCAAAATTTCTAGGTGATTAAATAGCTTTTATATCCTGGGTGTGACAGGTAAAAACTTTAGCCATATTCTCATTAGCCTTCTGGGTCCCACTGTCCTTCCTATGCCCTTTGTAACTCTTCTATGTGCTAGAAAACACGAAGGGATGGTTTGGGCGGGTTACATTAGAACAACAGGACCATCCTGTACAAAACAGCTGTTTGTGCTATTTTTGTAGATCAAAGCCTGAACATGGTTTGAGGGTGTTTTAGATATTAAATGATGGTATCATCTGGGAGCAAAATCAAAGGTTCACATCTAGAACCCAGGCAGCCAAGTTAATGCTATGAAGTATACGGTTGTCTCTAGGAGTTAACTATCAGCTGGGAGGTCATCTGGGGTCAAAAGAAGTAGGCAGAAGTTAGCAAATTCCTAGAAAGACGAAGGCTTCAAAGAAGGAGGCCCCTGAAAGTGGGAGGCAGTGCCTGTGAGGATAAGAACATAGAACTCAGGGCTGGGGAGCAAGGCTACTTACTAGCTGAGTGATCTAGGACACCAGACCTTCAGTATCCTTTTCTGAAAAACGGGGACATTAATAGCACCCGGTTGTTGTGAGGATTAAAATGAGAAATGCATGCAGAGAGTTTAGCATAGTATGTAACAATAAATGTAAGCAACCCTCACCCCTTTACAACCAAGGGATAGAGCATAGGGCTGCCTGCCAGGGTCCCCAAATTTACCACCTGATTTGCTCCAAGTGATAGAAATGGTCCTGTTGTACGGACACAGAGAAAGTAAACAGACTAACAAGATGGGATAAAGACGTTGGGTCCAGAAGGGTTTAATAATAGGGGAAAAAAATTCCTCAGTGTAAGAGGAAGGAGGTTTGTGTTTCTTTTTTAAAGCAAAGAAAATCTTACAATGTGTCTTTAAATCTTCTATTTGGCTGTTTTCTTTGGAGTCTACAAGCTTAAGTCCAAATTCTTTGATATAACAGATAAGTTAATTAAACTCTCCATCTCTTCCTCCATCTCTTTCCTCCATGATAGTAATAGTAACTTCATCTCACTGAGTTTTGTCAAAAACTAAGAGAGATGGCTGTCAAGTATTCAACCTAATGGCTGGCATACTGTTAGGGATTAATCTTATTTTACAGTTCCTTCCCTCCTCACACACTTCTGTCTCTGACCACCATACCTCAGGCCACCATATTTATTGAGCACTTTCTTCTTGCCAGGCACCATGCTGGGAATCGGAAAACCAAGACACACAAGGTCCAACCTGCTAAGTGCTTTCAGCCTTGTTGAAGACAAACACACAATAATGTGATAAAAATCAACCAGGATGGGAGTTGGGGGAGGTACGAAGAAGTAAGTGGTCTTCCCACCTCAGTCTGGAGAGGATCTGAAGGTAAGACAGTGCATCAGCATTTGGGGGGTCTTAGCAAATCAAAACATAAAAGGAGATGTGGGGTAAAGGGGAGGAAGAGTCAGGCAGAGTCCTACAAGACATGCTCCAAGGGTTTGGACTTGACCCTGGGGCAGAGAAGAAGATTAAGCACTTCAATAGCATGAAGACTGAATCTGAGGCTGAAGAGAAAGAAACAGAGAGAGAGAGAGAGAGGGAGGGAGGGAAGGAGGGAGAGGATGTGCGCGCGTGTGTGTGTTGTATTCCTTTATGTGGTGGAGGAAAAGGGCAACTTTCTTCCAGCCTGTTCTCCAAGATGACTCTGGTGAAAAGGCATTAAAGAAGCAACCTACATGAGGCAATTAAAATATGAGTGGTCATCAGGGAAAGAGCAGAATGAGGTAGACAGAGGGTGCCTCCCTAACCAAAGAGGCAGGCTAGCCCCATCTCCATGCCCTTCCATTTGATGTTAGTGTCTGACTCTGACATTGATCAAAGAGAAGCCAAACACAGGCATGGAGACCACCTGGAAAGCTACCATAAATAGTCCAATCAAGGGAGTATGGAAAGAACACGGTGGGCATGAGAGACTTAGGTATGGGGTGGCGGGGGGGGGCAAGTCTTTCCTTCCCACTGCCATCGTGCTGACTCTAATCACTGATCTCCTGACCAGGGCAGGAAGACAAGCCTGCATTAAGCAGCAGTGGCTGATTATAAGAACATGGACGGCTTCTGTCCCTAACAGCTTCGGGAGAATGGCAGAGGTGGGCAGCGAGTGACCATCAAGGAACTTCACTAAAAAACAAAGTGGGGGGAGAGGGGCGCAGCTGCAGGATGATTTGGGGTTATAGGAAGGCATTTTTGTTTTTTAAACAATAGAGTCTCCGTGATGTTTAATTGCTTATAAGCTGGAAACACAGAGGGCAATAGAGAAGGGACAAATGGAAACACAAAAGAGGGACAGACGAATAAGGGAGAATCCAGGTGATGAGAGGAGGGACCACAGCAGATATGAGAGAGTCAGCCTTGCCCAAGACAAGGGCTACTTCTTCACGAGGGAAGGAAGGAGAGGGAGGATGGGTGGGGACAGGCACATACGCCCCCCGCGGTGACACCAGGCCGAGGGAAAGCAGAA